CTCAGAAACTCAGAAACTCGGAAACTCAGAAACTCAGAAACTCGGAAACTCAGAAACTCGAAAACTCGGAAACTCAAAAAGTCGGATGTCGTTTCAGGGCTTCCATAGTTTCAGGGCTTCCATAGTATGCATTCAACTTCGGCGATAGCCGAGTTCGTGCGTGACGTCAGTGTACGTCACGAGGATACTTTGGTTCATGAAAACATATGCCCATCGAGCTTACTGATCTCTATAATATAATCTGGATAGGGCATTGGCTACGTGTCAGTGACGCAACACGTCCGCCATGCCGCTACTCCCAAAAGTATAGGGATCCGATCTAGCTGCATTGGCTACGTGTCAGTGACGCTACACGTCCGCCATCTTTCCACTCGTAAAAGTATAGGGATCCGATCTAGCTGCGAGCGACTACTAGCATAGACTGGTCCGCGCTCGACAGTTCCACTCGCGTTACACTGACGCGCGCGGCGCGCTCACTTAACGCGAGTGGAACTGTCGAGCGCGGACCAGTCTACTGCTAGCAATCTCCACTGCAAGCAACTTTACGGTCTCGAGAAATATATTTCAAATTCATTTGTTAGAGTAGAGAATGCCATCCTGTGCAACCATCAACTGCACTAACAGGCAGTTTAAGGCATGTGGAAGGACATTTAATTTGTAAGTTAGCATTAAAATGGGAAAATTTATGATAAAAACAACATTATACGTAACCTATGACCGTAGACCTATGACTTGTTTTGTGGACGCTCGTGCCAGCGAAGCTTGCGAAGATTGTATAATCTAACTACAGTAGGCCTATTTGTAGTTGAATGAACGCTATGTCTATGCATTTTATATGTTTAATAGTTTTGAACAATAATTCAGAAATTGACCATTTCTGATTTCATAACCGATGATAACGTTAGCGCATGCGCAGGTTACAGGCTACAGGTGTATTGTAATTTTGTTATGTTTTGTGTGGCGAACCAGCCTGTGTTCCTCGTGTCACTCGTGGACAGAGCCCCTGCGCCGTGCTGGGTATGTTGTATATGTTAGCATAGGCCTGTACCCTAGATCGCTAGGTACTTGTACTAAGCCCGACAAGGCTGTGCGACCGATTGTCTATCTTCTAACCCTAGCAAAACCGTTTCTTGGAGCTAGGTACTTGTAAAAAGTTATTTGTTGTCATGATGTAAAATTTAATGTAGCTAAATCAAATTAGCTACACCACATTGTAATTTTGGTGTGTGCGTGTGATACTCACTGTACGACTGGCTCTCCCCTCGTCGACCTCTACCGGACGGCAGTAGATGGCTGAGGGTCAACCCAGGCTACTGATGATTCGTTTCGCGGACCACGGAGCATTCCCACATCTCGGGGCATTTAGCAACCATGCCTATGCCACTCAAGTTCACAGTTCTTAACGAGGTTTCAAATGGATTTCAGCTGCGACATCGCGACTTTAGCTAAGGTTTTGGCGGATTTTAATCGCGACGTTAGTTAATATTTCGATGGATTTTCGTCACGACTTTGCGATTTTGCTTGGGTTTCATCGCGACTCATCTCGATCGGCCGTGCCTTAAGCCGGCTCCTTACTGTGTCACGTTCTATTGTGTCATGAGTCCACCTATATTATAGAGCCGATCCGCGCACCTATTTAAGTGTATTTAGTGTGATGTTTCTTCTTTGATTAAATGCGTTGATTGGATGGCCGATGCATAAAGTAATTTATCTCCGTTGTCGATTCTATGTCTTCCTCTTTCGTACCACACACCACGTGACGGTTCAATCAAGGTCACAATCCAGTGATCGAATCTTAGACTGTTGATAACGACCGGAGGAGTTATTGTGACATTACACAATTAAAGGAATAGTAGGTCCATCGATTATGCAAAGTTGACGAATGCTAGAATAACTGGCACCTTGTGTAGTTAATAAGTACATTACCTTATAGCAAAACGCGTATTACTTTGTCCAATATCACTGCTGGTGAAATGTCTAATTGAAATCCGTAAATTTGGTAATCTGGCGCCAACGCTAAATTGCTTGCCAACCAAATAAACCTCGATTTCGGTTCGGTGACGTCACATGTTGCTACAGGATGTTGAGCAGCGAATTGTTTGTCCCGGGTAAATTGTTTGCCTAGTGACGGCAGTCGTAATCATTATCGAGGCACAAGTAAATACTCTTGGTTGCTAATGAACGGGTACCCACATGTCTTCAATTTCGGACACAGGTGTATTCGTTTGACCAATATACGTAAATACGCGTAGTGCCGTCTGCTTCTCATGTTTAGTCTGTGGCCGTGGTTAGTTCGCGATCCCCACAGGCACATAGTGTTGGCCCCCAACATGCACAGCCTACTTCATTATCACGAGCGTCCGTGATTAGTACGTGGATTCCACGTGCATTACAATCAGAGCTAGCGTAGGGCCTACTGTTACGTATACAGTTACGGCATTGTACTATCAGGATGGTACTATCGCTAGCGTGCCAGCTGAGCGGCAGCGTGCCAGCAGCAAGAGCTTGCAATAGCTGGAGATGATCTCCCAGTGCGCAGAGATACTGCCTGAACGTAATAAACACGGACGCTCGTGATAAGGTAAAATGACAAGGTAAGGATATAACGTTTTATCGGGGCTGTCCGTTTATAGTCCGTGGGTGTCCGTCAGTTTTTGTTCGTGTGTTCTGCACCATTTACGTGTTTCCCATTTCATAGTGTAATGAACTTGCTGTACGCAGGTTCGTACGATTCGTCAAATTGGGTTCTAATATCCTTTTCCCATATTATATGTTGCTTGTAATCTCAAGATCTTCGTATATTCATTTATTCCCAAGAGTAAAACCATAACGTACGGAATGCGCACTCAGACCACAAGGATCGAAATCACTGACGGCCGAGCATACGTGCGAAAATGTCCGGTGCACTATAATCTGTATGACACCGCTTCGCCGGTTACGGCCGGTCATAGCCGGTATACCGGGTTGAAACTGTTAACAACGGATTTATTTGACCGCGGATTTCAATTGCAAATTTCTTAGTAACCAGCAGTGATATTGGACTAACTAATACGTGTTTGGCTATAAGGTAATGTACTTATTAACTATACACAAGGTGCCAGTTACTGTAGCATTCGTCAACTTTGCATAATCGATGGACCTACTATTCCTTTAACGGAGATCACACAAGAGGGAATATACTGTATACGCCATATTTTTCATGTACAGGTATTTTCACGAATTCAGACCTGACGGACAATTTCGCGAGTGGTTAAATTTTAATTTCGCGGTCGGTGACTTTGACGGTAGGTGATCGGACACTCCAACGTACATGCAGGAGTCGCGGCTGCGCACGGAGATCATGCAGAGGCTGCGAGCCAGCGCGTCATCCGGCGACAGCTCGGCGTCGAGCGCGGCAATGAGACGCGATAGGACAGCGTCTTGGAGTCGCCGGCGACCGGTCACCTCGACGACGCGAGCCCGGTGCACCGCGTAAGCTCTGCACGCCGCACGAGACGTCCCGCGCGGAGGTGTCCGGCTCCGAGATCATGATCGGAGGGAAGAAGAGAGCCGGGAAGCCCGCTATACCCGCGTGGAGTCAGCGAAATGACGTGAATTCGACGAGCACTGTCGTCGAAATCCTCAAGAGAATGACGGCGCCGACGCGGACGGGTCTAGAGGAGTTCAAACCCTCGGCCGCCCGAAAACCACGCCGATACGCTGAGAAGAGTTCTGCCGCAAATGCGTCCGGCGTTGCCGCGAAGCAACGGCCGCAGCGGTGGAAGACCAGTAGTCAGAGCAGCAGCAGCAGCAGCTGCAGCAGCATCATCGTCCTGACGAGTCTTGACGCGAGCGAGTAGGAGCTGGTCATCGTGATCGTCAGCAAGCTCGGCCGCTTCCGTCTCCGCGACGACGTTGGCTGCGACACGACGCACGTCGTCTGCGGTCGCGAGCGCCGCACGCTGAACGCGCTCATGGCGATCGCGCGCGGATGCTGGGTCGTCTCCGTTGCGTGGGTGCTCGAGTCGCTCGAGTCTGGCGCATGGCTCGCCGAGACACCCTACGAGTGCGTCGCGTGGTTCCCGGCCGCCTGGCTTGCGTGCGCCGAGTGGGAAGCGGCCGGCGGTGGCGACCGCTACCGGCAGGCGGTGTTTGCGCAGTGTGGCCGTGTTCACATTGGCAACATGGACGCTCCAGAAGAGAAGATGGTCACCCTGCTACAGCAGTGCGGGGCGGAGGTAACCGCGTGCCATCGCAAGGCCGACGTCTGTGTTGGCGGGCGGACGAGCAATGTTATGCTCAAATGTTTAAATATGCATTTTCGACATTTTAATAAATTTTTATTGAAACCAGAATAATTAATAGTACAATCTTTTTCATTCAAAAATGCCCAGCCCACACACTGATATTCAAGGAAAGTGTATCATTTAGGCCCATGCCATTATTCTGCCAACCTGGAGCCAGTTAACCCGATGTCGGGCCAAAGCCGGCGGTCAGGCCGATATTTGCAATGTCGGGCCAATATTATTGGTGCCAAGATTAACCGATATTGGGCCAAAATTTTGGCCTGGTGCTGTTGTGCTGGCTGGGTATATGCTATATGCTAGTGTATCATTATATATGCTATATGCTAGTGTATCATTATATATGCTATATATTGCTATATCATATATGCTATATGTAGGCCTATATAATGTATGCTAGACATATGCTATATTTACCTTAGACCGAATAATTCTGTCCCAGATAACGTTTTATCAATCATCTAATCTTTCATTTATCGATTCACAGGCCCGTAGCCAGCTTTATATTGGGGGGGGTTCGTTTTTCAATGTTGGCAATTTGCTCGGCAGGGGCGTGTACAGGATTTGTACCAGGGGGGTCTAACCGTAACCCAAAGTTGCGAGCACGCGAAGGGGGGTCTGGGGGTCTAGCCCTCCCCCAGAAATTTTTTGATATTAGACCCCCTCAGATGCGTTTTCTGCGCGAGCAAGGGGGGTCCGGACTCTCTTGACCCCTCCTGTACACGCCCCTGCCGAGCAAATTGCCAACATTGAAAAACGAACCCCCCACCCAATATAAAGCTGGCTACGGGCCTGCGTACAGATAACACTAAATAACAACACACATATCTTTAAATACATCTGTGTAGGCTGCAGCCCGGCCCCATTCTTCTAACTTCCTTATCACGAACGCATCCATCGCTGAGCATCTAAATTACAAAAGCTACAAAAGATTAAAGTCGGTTTTTTCTCTCTTGTTTCATGCTATTAGAATTAGGTTC